AGGATCATGTCAGTACTAAGGAAGACTTGGATTTCACAGAGCAACCTGCTCTAGCTGATCCTGCTTTGAGCAGTCAGGGTGGGAGTCAGAAACACTTCCCTCCCCAGCCATTCTATGTTTCTGTGATCCTATCTTTAACTACCAGTAAAGACATTTGATCTGCAAAGCTGATCAGCTTTAAAAGCTATATGAAACTTAATATCTTTAATTGAGGCACTGGATTTTAAAATTAAGATGTTTGTATTTCTTAAATATCTACGCTTTTTATTTACATCCACCCTCCTTTATAGGAAGAGAAAAAACACACAAACAGAATTTTTACAGTTTGCAGTGCATTGGTATCAAAGGTCATGATCTTCTAGCTCCAACTCAGCCACTTCATACACCATCACCTGCAGTTCTGCAGGCAAAACCGACTTGCCAAACTTACAGCCACCCGTTTCATTAAGAAAGATGAAAATTATTGTTTGCTGAGCTTGTTGTAATTAGTCATGTGAAATCTGTCTCAAATGTAATAAATTTCACCAAAGAATAAAACGCCATGGATAATTATGCTCCTAAAGAAGAAAAGGTACTGTAATATATGGTACCCTTGCACATAATCTCTTTATCCCAAACACCACTGTCTCCATTCAATCAATGCCATACAACCAGAATTTTTAATCAAGTCTTATTAGTGGCTGTCTTTGCCAGGAGCTGAAGAAGAACATAGCTTTCACTGAACTCTTCTAGGTACAATTTATTCTGCCACTTCATTTTGTAGGGAGCCTGATTTATTTGACATCAATAGTTTGTTGAGGTAATAAACCATGCAGCAATGATACCGTGACTCAGAGCTCATTTGCTAACAGTCAAGTTGCTTGGCAGCATGACAGGCAGAGTAATGTGCCTTGAAGAACTCTGTATAGATGCCACAGAGATTACCAACAAATACAGAGCCCCAAAACACAACTTTATCAACTCTGCTTTGATTGACTGATTGTGTTCAGCTTCACTTTGAGCACAAAGATTAAAAAAAAAAATCTATATGCAAGCCAAAAAGCTGCTCCATCCCAACAGATCTGTAACACACCCAGGCAATTTTACACTACAGCTTCCTTTCAAGACAGGGCTGTCCTCCACATGCTTACAGAAGCACACAGTGTAAGAGAGCCCTCCTTCAGGTAAACATCAATACTCAATGAAGCACAGCTACTTCCTACAACAGAAGTACAAGTTTTTTTTTACCTGAGTTTGCAAGAGGGGTAAGAGGTTTTATATGTCAATGGCACTATTTAAAAATCCTGTTCTTTTGAGTAACATCAGCAATCAAGCATAAAATGAAATAAAATTTTAAACAGGAGGTGGGGATTTAAGAAAAAGACTGATTTACACTCCTCTCTGGAAATACAAAACATATAATCAGATTTTTTCCTAGTGGCATTAAGGCAGCATATATCTTTTTTGTACAAAACCAACTGAGAAGGCTCTAATACTAAATATGCCCATGCATTATCTTTTTCAACCTCTCTACTTAAGTACCAACATTTACAAATCTGCAGATACTAGACGATTCCTATCCTTTCTCCCTATACCTCTATAGGGACACAAACACACCTCCCCCAAGATTAAATAAGTGTATTTAATCTTTATTTAAAAGTACAGCAAAAAGTGATAGGCACTGCAGGTAAGCAAATTGTAGTTCTTTTTTCACTCCTTTCCTGTCATTACAAAATACATGCTCATTAAAGGCCTTTCCATTTAAACATTCCAATTTTAGGAAGGATAATATATCAAGTTATTTTTCAACTTATACATTCATTGTTTGAAGCCATGCATTGAGCTCTATACAGGCTCAGCCTGGAGTGTTACAGCAAGTTACCAGAGTGGATGAACTTGCAATAGCTACTTAGAGCAAATACTTTTAGAAGAAATTCACAAGGATTACTAAGAAATTCCTTCACAGCTGTTAACTTCAACAAGTGCTTATTTTTCCAAGTAATTGAAGATAGACAATTTACAATCCATTTACAAGGTTATTTTTATTATCATAAAATTTCCAACATACAGAAAATCACTGCCTGGTGCTAGTCAGTGTTTCCATCCACAGTCTTCAGAGTACAAGTCTGATTTCTAGGTAAGCATCAGAAAAATCACGACATTCAGCATCATTAAACACCTGACTAACAAATTAAGTGCCACAATTAGCATGCCAAGGGAATTAGTTTACTCAGATGATCAAGACTTATTTGGTTCCAAACTGAGATTTTTAAGATTAAACAATCTTCAAATCTTCACCACACCTCCTTTGCCACATCTCCTATTGTTTACCAACTCCACAGCAAAGAGTGAAGCCAAAGGAGAGCCTCCCCCTCAGTCCTGGCTCTAGCTTGGAGTGTAAGGGAACTTACTGAAGACTAACATTCCAAAATTCCAAGAAAGGTATGACCAGGAAGTACCTCCACAGATACCAGACCACTTACAACCCAAGTTTGTTTACTCTAATTCAAGTATCTCTTTACATTATCATGTTCAAACAGCTCACATACATGGGCACAGGAACAGTACAAAGAACTCTATGTCCATCAAAACAAACAGAATAGGACATAACAGCTACCATGAAAGGTTAAAGTGCTTTGGTGAATGTAAAAATTTATCAAAAACCTCTCCTGGCTTCAGAGGATAAGGAAGCCTGTATAAGCAGTGCACAGCAACTGAAGTGATAGCATTTTTAAAAATTTAGTTGTTTCTTACTTGCTTAAGCAATTTTTAGAGAGGCTGGAGACCCTGAGGAGCTATGTTAGAAGGTAAGGAAAACAGCACGGAGAGGAATAATGTTTTTCCTATCCATACACTCATGAAATCTGCAGGACAGCCAGCAGGACAGGGAAAAGAAGGAAACTTAAGTCAGTGAATCAATTTAGATAATAGACAAATATTATTTCTACAATGCACAAGTCCTTTTCCAATACAACATCTACTTGAATCTATATTTACACCACATATAGGTATTTGATGTTCAACTCCAAGGTTAAGATGCTCATTGAACAATGCAGGTAACATCTAGATAGGACTGCCAGGCAATGGGTCCCTCTACCATATAAAAAGTAAATCCCACACCTGGGGCTATGCAGGTATATACAAGCACTATAATTACTTGTACACACATCCCCACTAAAACACTGACATTCTCCAGTCCTGAGGCCAGCTGGTACCAGCTGCACTCTGCTGTACAGTACTTAACCTTCAGTCTCCCCTGGGCACCATGAGACACATTCATAGCCTGAAGACAAACACTTAGGTGGGGACGGGAGTAATTCATATTGGTTTCTATTCAGACTGTCAAACAGAAAGCTGTAAGTGGCATTTTCCTGACAGAAAATTAAGTGTACCTGGTGCATTCCTTAGGCATCATCACTTCTGGGATACTACAGCAGTGGAAGGAGCAAACCTTGTGTAGTCTTGCCTGTATCACCTACTAGAAGTGGCTCCTGCAGCTTGCCATACAGCATCCACACACTGTCCACAGTTTAAAGTAACAAGTGACTCTTACTTTTTTTTTTCTTCCACTGAAAGAAGAGCTTTTGAGTTTTATCTAATGGCAGACAAATTCATATGGTGACAAAGCAATATAAGCTCTGTAATCGAATCTAGGTTCCCCTCCCAGCTGCACAGTGACAGCTGTGTATAACACAGCCAACATCTCAGCAGATCAGGCCATGCAGTGAAACCAGCTGGTATGAATTAGGAGGATCAGGAATTACTGTTCCCTTGCCACAGAGCAGAAAATCTGCCTACCTGTCTCACGCTATTAGGAATGTAAACCACTGCTGGATTTCCATTTTTGAGAAACCTACATACCTTGTTATGGTAAAGGCCAAAGTGCTCCTGACTGGCACCTCCCTTTGCTGCATTTAACCACAATAATAATTTCTTTTACAATATTAAGTACCATAAGTTCTAGCTTACACTGTTGAATGTCTAAAGAGAAATTTACATGAACAAGTTACTTTACAACAACCAGTAACCAAAGAAGCTGTTTGTCTATAAACCAGCTATCCAACCAAATGAGGTTCTCTCACATCCACAGTACTCTGAATATATGAGGCCTTGAAGAAAATCCTGAACATAAGAGCCTAATTTGGGATATTTCAAAAGACAATAAAACTACACTCACTATCTCACTACAATTCAGCAGAGTACTCTAACAGACAGGATCATGAACTAAGGCTGCCCTGGCATTGTGATTTCTGTGTAAAGCAATTTTCCTCTCTGTTCCTTCTACCAGCATTTTTCTCACAGGCTCACATACTTCAGGAACTTATTCAAGCAAGGATTTGCTATTTTACTAAACATTTATGCAGGAATTAACATAGTGGGAACTTAATTTGGTTCTGATCTCTAGGCTACTGGAATAGTGAAACATATGCATACAGTAATAAATGTCTTCCCTGCTTTTGAGAGTGACTGAAAAAGAGAAACAAGTGTTTTTCTATATGGATTCAGATACTCAAGCAAGATATAATCAGGCATTCAAACTTCAAATAATTCTGTATGTGTTTTATAAATATATTCTTAACCTAAGACAGCATTCATACTGATATTAAAAAAAAAAAGGAATTATAAGCACTTAGTTCCTAAGGAAATTTCTCACACAAATTGTTTTCTGTTCAGACATCTTCCATCTACTAGCATTGTCTGTTTTCAAATTACATTTGCCATCTGTCAACACCAAGAAATACTTAAGATTAAGCAATGATGAAAAAAAAAGAATATGTAAATATAAAATATGTCTCAGTGGTGACATATTTTAATGAGCTTTAGATATTTCCAAAGGCTGGCAAAAATTCCCAAATAAGTCATCTTCTCACCTGAAAATAAAACCATGGTTAGAGAATTCAAATACTGAAATACTATGATACAACTAGAACTATGGTATATATGCATGATTACAAAAAAACCCCTCAAGAGTAGTATTGTTGTAAAGGCAAAGCAAAATAAATTTTAGAATGGAAACTTACTTGTGCATATTTTCCACTCCTATTATGATCATGATATAGTAGGAAATTCCACTTTGTATAACAAAATGTAAGGCATACCTAGGGGGAAAAAAAGTAAACCCTCATAGCATTTTCTTTAATGACAATCAACAGCATGCATTCATAGTGAAATTAAAGAGGTTCAAAGTTTAAAGCCACCACTGCTCCCAAAGAAAAATCCCCTTTTATTCTATTTAGGTTTTCTGTTACCCTTCCTTCTGCTGAGAACTTCTCCCTTTAGCACAGCACAGAGAGCAGTAATGAACAAAACCTAGACACCTAGCTACAATGTTCCAGCTCAATCAAGAATATTGTAAATGTTGATAATTATTAAAACACAAAGAATATGTTTTATGTCTTCCATTTGGCATTACTTCATGAGTAAATGACTGTAAACAACATGAAAATTTTGTGGTTTCATTTCCATATTCATCTTTCTACCCATTTACAGCAATAGATATTCCAGATAAGGCCAACAATTTCTTAGTATCCACAATATTGTAAGATTTCTCACTTAACAGCAATGGTGACTGTCCAGCCAGTCTCTTTGTCCCAGGCTGTCAGTAACTTTTAAAGGGATGGTGGTGATGGTCACAAAAAACACACACAAAAAAGCCCTACACACCAACAAGCCACAGATTTATTTCACAAAGATGCTCCAAGCTCCTCCTGTTTGTTTTCCACAGCTCACCACCACAGCTGTCCAACAGCACTGCTTTGGGAGTTGGCTTTGGCCTTTGAAGGAGTCCTATTTCAGTAAGCTGAAGAGCACTGCCATCCAAGCAGTGCCAGTGAATGAGGAAAGAGCTGATCTTCAGTAACTTGGGGTTTTTTTCATTCTGGTACCTTAAGTGCCCCAGTACCACAAGCACATAGGCTCAAGTGACACAACTCATCTAATTTGGGATTTTTTTTTCCTCATGAAAAGCAGCCTAAAAAGCAGCAATCATTTTGCTACAGTGATGCTATTTTCTTTCAGCTTATCACCAACAATTTCCTAATTTCACTCCTCCTCTACTAACAAGGAAATTACTTCAAACAAGAAAACCAGTTCTATCCAACTAAAATCCTTCATCCTATACAGGAGGAACTGAGCCAAAATTTGGATTCGAGGTTATTCACTTGGACATGAATTAACCTTGAAAAATCTTGACTTTTTACAGAAGAGCCAGTCTGTACATGCTCTCATGTTTCACTTCTAGTTAGTCTCATTTAGGATAGGACTACCTAAAATTCAAGTTTAATACAGTAATTGACAATTTAAAAAGTATTTACTTCCTTTTCTTATCTGCCAAGCATTAGCAATATTTTACAGCAAAGACAGGCATTAGTGAAATGACAAAAACTTAAGAGGTTTGCTCTTTTACAGAGAAATGAGACTAAGATATCAAAGCCTAAAAGAGTACCATACCAGGATTACAGTCACTGAAAACATTTCTCTTTCAGAGCTGCTAACAATAGCAATATGTTCTTTGATTCAATCATTCAAAGGGATGTATTGAGATACCACAGAGAATAGTGATTTTTAGCTACATACAAAGGGTACATATTCTGGGCCTTTTATGGTATTTGCTATTATGCAAAGGGAATTATTGCTTCTCTTCCTTTCCTCTACCACCCTCACAAGTATTACAAAAGTGAGTGAAAACTAACACACTTGAAGATAACATAACTACTACTTAATGTCCTTAAAAGAGTGCGGATTACAAACTACTTCCCACATTTAAATTTGCATGATCTACATTTTCTAGTAACACTATATAACAAAACAGTAACAGTTTCCTTCTTGTTATATATGTTCATAAGTCATGTTATAGCAGCACAAACCAAGAGTCACTGAAGATGTTATCAGGAGCTTGTAACCTGTATGCATCCTTGATTTCTTGGCAAGGGAGAACCAAAAAAACCAAAACCCTCAAAAACCTGCTTGTATAACATGTACTTAACCAAAAGGAAAAAGCATTGGCAGAAGTACCAATCTTTAAAGAATGTGTACTTTCAACATCTCAATGTTATGTTATTTTCATAATTTTAAAACAGTTTTTAGTTCAGTAACTGCAAAATAGAAATTAACCTCTTAAAATAAAACATCTTTTTTTTTTTTTCCAGGGCATATTGCTGGTGAGATGCTTCCACAAATTTTTATTTATGTCTGTTAGGAGTAGAGGCTGTTTCTTTCCAACATCTCCCATATCCAAAATGAATATATTAGTAACCCTTTCTAATTACAAATTATAATTAACGATTTCGGCTTCTAAAGCAATGGAAACAATGTGCTTCTAAGCTTACACAGCTCTCAAAAAAATTGTCACATAGTATCTCCTATTTCCCATATCCTCCTCTTTTTCTGTAGTGTTAAGCCTGGAAGTCTGTGAGATCAGATCATTCTCCCAAAGCAGAATACCATGGCCACATGTTTAAGAAATGGACTGGCATAGTAAGTTTTATATAAAAGTAAATCATGCATGTAAATCTAAAGAATAAAGGTTACTGATCTCTTTTCCCAAAATTTAAAAATAAGATATATCAATTAATGTTGGGAGAGTTCTGCAACATGCCTACATAGAGACCAACACACTCTGCATGTGTAGAGACAGATGCACATGCACATTCCCACCTGCACAACAGCTTGATTAATCCCCCCTAGCTCACTAATGCTCTATGATAGCATAAATAAGTCTTTTATACACTTGAAGCCAAGTAAGCACCTTGTTTACAATGCAATAAAATGAAACTGGCACTCAAACCATCTTGGGAAGATGCAAGCCATTTAGTAAGCTATTTTTTGAAGAAAAAAAATTCACCAAATTAAATGAATACCCTTTTCTAACTTTACTAACATTCTGTCTTGCTACACTGTGAAAGATCAAGATATGCAACCAGCAGTCACACAAAATATGTGTCTGAAAAACAATCACATCTTCCCTCTCTCCAAATCATTAAAGAAAAAAAAGAAACCATGAAACAGGGCATTTTAGACTACTAGGAGTGTCACTAGATATGCTTTACAGTTCCAACAACTCTTCCTTAAAATGCCACATTATATTCACTATTCAGAAAAAGACCCTGAGTTATCTCCTGTCATGAGTATTTATAGGGAATTATCCTAGTCACCACATCTGTGCTGTGCCTCAAGAGAATACTTCTCCAGCAAGTTTACAGAAAAAAAAGCTGCAGAAGTTAGACAAACTGCACCTGCTTCATCTTCCCAAAACCACAGGCAGCCAGTATGGTAGTTACCAGTTTACAGATGACCTTTCAAAATTTTTGGACCTCATCAGAATATTTAAGCTGATTTCTGTACATTTGCAGCAGCTAAAAACCCCACAGAATTAGGCAATATGGTTCTTCGTAACACAGAAATAAAAATTGACAAGTTCCTGAAAAATGAATTTAAGTGTAACTTACCATCCAAAACAAAAAAGTGCAAGATAAAGGCCCAAGAGTGTTGCAACAACATGTCTTATAAATGGGCTAGTTTTGCTTGAATGAAGGTATGTTCGAAACCAAACAGCCGCAAGCAAGGCAAACAGTTGGCACACTACAAAGTTGACCTGCATAAAAAAAAGAAAAGAAAGAAGAACTCACCCAAGTGTGTATTAAAATTTAACAGCAATATCCACACATTTTCAGCAATTTGCAGAACGTGTAGCTTTGCCACGGCTTTTACCACAGCATGTCTAAGAGCTTCTCCCATGAGTCCCTCCCAGGCCAAAGCACAAACCAGTGCTCCCCCAAGCAGCTTAGAGGAAAAGATGCATTGAACACGAAGCAATATGTGCTTAAATCAAGAAAAGAAAATGACATTTTTTGCTGTAGATTTTCTGAATACCAAACCACTATCAACCATTAAATCACCTCTACTCTCCCAGAATGTGAAAATCTGAGCTGTAGTTTTACTTGGTTTTTTAAGTGAGCAGGACTCGAAGCTACATATCAGCTCCAAAAATCACTGACAGATCACTTCAGTAGCCTGTGCAGAAGCAGGGCTCAGTGAAGTGCATTTCAGTGCTATGTAATCAGATAAACAGCTTGGTTGCACACTGCATTTTCTTCTTGTACATTCAAGTAGGATAGTTTCAGAAATTCTTCCTCCCTTCAGGCCATTTATTCTTGAAGATAGAAAATTTCTTGTATATTAAATATTTAAAGACATTAGGGCGCTGAAAGCAAAAGCAGAATTAAATAAAACTAAATCAGTGAGTAAAAAGAATTGTTCTGACTGTGGCCTGAAAAAAATGTAACAGCAAGTGCACAATAAAGAAAGAAATTCCTCAAATACAGCAACCACTACCAAAAGCTTAAGTTACAAAAAGCTGGACAAATTATTTTATTTAGAAAGTAACATTTCTCACTTCATAGATTTTATTTTTTACTGACATAGAAAACTGCCTAACAGTTTTCCATGTCTAATAGTGGCATCCCAAGTCATCACAAGCAACAGCTTGGGAACCACTGCTTCAGGTTCTAAGCACTTCAATAACAGAAACTTGTACATCCTGCAAGCTTCACTGCTCCTCTGCACAACAGTGTTTTAGACTCTTTGATGGCCCTTAGCTGAAATACATACTTAATCTTAACACCACAGGGTACAATGACAATACTATTTTTATGCTCCTGACAGCAAGTATGATATTGATGTTTGCAGCAACATAGTGCACACTTGCAGTACCATAATTCACCTTGTCCATTCCTTAATCATTTTTCAACCAAGTTTCAGGCCATAATAGGTAAGGGTCAGAGTATGCAAACATGGTCATTTTTAACAATTAAAAAAACTACAGAACTCTCTTTCTTGTAACAACTGAACCATTCCAAAACCTGTAACACCAAGTCAGAGCATTAAGTGCTAGCAGGGAAAGATTCAAAAGGCAGGGTGTGGGATCTCAGCCTCTCAGAATTGGGGTGCAGGGTGAACAAGACCACCCCTGGGGGGCTCGGGAGTCCTGGAATGTTGCCAGAAATGTCTGGTGGCTGGACTTTGATCCCACAGGGGAGATGACATCAGTATGAGGACGGGAGGATTTCACTGGGGTGAATGATGAAGGGACAAGTTAATTGGAGTGTGAGATACAGGGTTTAAGATTTCTGTACAGGGGGGTCTAGAGAGGCAAGATGGAGGGATTGGGGCGTGCCCTTCTCCTCCTTCTTCTTCCTCTAGGCCTCCATCTTCTGTGGTGATGTTGGCACTCTGGGATTGGACCTTACTAGGGGAACACTGGTTAATAAGGGTAGAGGGTATTGGAGAAAAATGATAAATATTGCATACGTAACTCCAAGTATAAAGATAGGTGACCACCCCAGGGGCTCTCAGTGTGTGCCCATGGCTGACTGCTGAGCAGACCTCTGTCGGGCAGAGGGAAAATCTTTTAGATAAGCATTTAATAAACACCGAGACCGAGAAAAGATCTGAAGTCCCTTCTCGTCCTTTGGAGCGCGGGCGGCCCAAGGCCATCTTCGGGCTTTTCCAGACCATCTAAACAGCCCAAAATCCGACAGCAGGGCTGTGCTTTTTAATAGGCACAATTCCCTAAATTAAACTGTTCTTTCAAATGTCACGTACACTTTTCCATCCGTTCTCTTACTACCACATTTCTATTATGCTTTTAACAGTATTTGAAAAATCCTAAATAAATGAGGAGATATTCTTCCAGGGCATAACTTGACCTGTTTTCTCTCCTTTATAAGCAATGATGCAAATGAAACAGAGCAAGGTTTATTACTCAAGATGATTCTATGCATTTAGTGAAAAAGTTTCATACAAAACAGTCAAGTGAACTACTGAAAGGGAAACAAACTGATAATGTTTGAGAAAAGAGGGAAAGAAACAAAAATGAAAACAAAAAAATTATTACTTCAGTACCAACACTTGTATGAATATTTGTTACAGAAATTATGCCATGTAACCCACAAAGCATGTTTCTGACCCAAAGAACTCACATCCTAGATAGACTAGAAGGGGAAGGGAGACAGAGAAGGTCGCACATTCACAGATATGTAGTGAAACTGAGGTAAAGAGACAGAGGGAAGAAATGAGCGTGAATACCTGTCCTGAAATGGACACACTTGCATTGCTGGTTTTACTGAATGCCCAGACATTAGTGCTTTGACTGCAGTATAGATAATTTACCAATTGGTATCACATGGTGTCCTTCCTTTTCAGATTACTACTAAAAGCAAACTAGCAAGACCCAGGGAAAAAGGAAAGTCATCATCTGTCTCCTACTACTACTGTGAAAAGGGTAGAAGTGCTTGGCAGTTCTGACCTGTATCACCAACTCTATAGGAGCAGACAATAACAAAACAACAAACCTTGAATCCCACAATTCAGGATGAGCCTGCAGGTTTAGGAATGAGTAAAATCCTCACACAAAACACAAAATGCAAACCTGAGAAAGGATTGAGCAGGTAGGGAGTGAAAAGGTGGTACACCTTTCTTGAGCACCTGCTATTTGTTTAGCTATTTACTCAAATGATCAAATCTGTATCTGAAAAACAATATCCCATTAATTAAAAAACAAATAAAACCTGATACGAAAAAAAAAACCACCAAACAAACCAAAGCACCTTCCCCAAGAAGAATATTTTGAGAACAGCAATGAAATGCAGGATAACACACCTTCAGATCAACCCCACAAGCCAACTTCCAGGGATGTGAATTTATTATGTCAGTTTTTTGAACATGAAACGAAGTGACCCAAGCAGCACAAACCTTTTCCAAAAGCCTTCCTCACAAATGAATCCAAAACTGCCAGTGGGTATTTTTAAAGTGCTCTTCCCAAAAAGGGCACAAACATATACAATACTTGGAAATCCAAGGCATCACCACAATAGTCACACACCACCCTGCATTTCTTCTCTACTCTTACCAATCCCATCCTTATCCTTGTCTCAGTGCACCAAAATGCAGATTACAAGGCACCAAGAGTTCTGCTCAACTTGTAAAGCTCCCAAAGCTTTAAATACATATCTGTGAAACCAAGCTATGCAGCAGTTAAGGTTTGAAAGCCATGCAACTTGAGTTTAGCCTTTATACATACCTACTTCTGACTATATTCTTCTGCTGCTTTATTCTGTTTTCCCCAGCAGTATTTTGGATTCATTCAGCAAATGGACAATTGCCCAGTTTTTGCCCTCATTATGTGACCCATTAAATGCTTACCATCTGCATTCTACATTGAATATAAGAACTTTACATGTTATGCAGCTCTGTCCATAACATGGTAAGACTACATACAACAAATGTAAACTTTGCAATAATTTCATAAGAGCAGTATTCCTATACTAAAGGTGAATGACTGGCACAAAAATTATGAAAGCCCAAAGGGTAAAATAAATGCCCACTAACTTTGGTTGCTCAATTTCAGACACTCAGTGCCTAGTATTTCAGTCAGTACTTTTAAAAGAACTTTAACTAGAAATGTGTTTTGAAAATATAAATTCAGCTGCTGTTCTTATTATCCAGCATGCCTCTAAATCAGGCCCAAAGTATCTCAAAATAAAAGCAAAATTTAAAGTCATCAATCTGGTTTTTTTCCTATTTTTTCTCCAATTCACAAAAACTCTCTGGTTTACTACTGATTTGCCTTCCAAATCAAGGAAGTCATATGGAAGAGTTTGTGAGCACTGCTGGGCAGTGCTAGAATCACAGGGATAATCTTCATCTGACACTTATTCTGACTTTTGAGCACCTGCCATCACAGGTTATATATTCCCTTGGTAAACACCTTGAATACTTGACTACTCATATTTTAAAAGAAAACACAGAATTTCTACAACAATAATCAAAACTTACCTGTGGCTTTCAGTCCACAGTACTCATTTCTACCACTTGTACTCATTTCCACATGGAAAGAAGTTTCATCCCTTGCCAATGCTACAGGAAGTATAATGAGAAACAGACTCTGTGGGCTCCCCAATTCCCCTGGATGCACTTCCAGCTCCAGCAGTGAGATAGTTTGTGCATCTCCACAGTGGTTTAGTTCAGATCAGAGGGGGCTCCTGAAGCCTCCCAGTTACCTGCACTTCACGTGCTTTGCAAGTGCTGTGTGTCCGGACACACAAACCTGATTTCCTTTAAACTAAACTGAACTAGGTATCTGCTCCAAAGGTAACTGAACATTAAGCCCATGGACTAACCTAGGCAAAAGCAGCATTTCCCAAAATTATTACAGCACCCATGCTGGATCCTCATTGCCAACCACTTCATCCCACAGAAACACTTCTTTCTCTACTGCACTACTTGGTTTAGTAAACAATGCCAAAACTTAATTTTCAGGCTTTTCCTAACTCCATGTCCCATCTTAAGCCACGCTGAGCAGTGTGGAATTGACAGACAGCTTCCTTGTATGCACACACTGAGACAGATGAAGAACTTGCCTTCACATACAGAGCCTGCCTTGAAAGAGTGACCAAAATGACTTGGCTGTCTATAGGGATAGACAATAGGAACAGACAGCAAATGAGCAGGAACAAGGACAGAGCTGGACATCACCACCTTGAAAGCTTCCACGAAAACCAGGCATTCAACCAAGCAGCGATTTTGTTGGCAAAT